GAACCCCTCTGATTACGTCTGGAGCCAGTCACGTTGTAGGAATATGTTTGAATGGGCCAGTCTGGAGTACGTCCCCAGCCCCGCTCTGGAATAAACCAGAATCTCCTGGGGCAGAGGTACAATCAAGAGAAAGAAGTACTCGTCCAGTACGAGTGGCTATGTCTTGTCTTAAGCTGTACCGGGTTATCTGTTCCTGTGAAACAAACCGACCCCAAATGTAGTTGCTTTCAACAGTCTGTTATTCTCATAAATCTGCAGGTTGGGAGGGTTTGGAGGGGTGGGGGGTGTCCTTGTCTCCCATCCATACAACATCTTCCCCCCAAACAGAGGGCTGAAAGGTCCATTTCCAAGACGGTGTAGGGAGAGGGAAAAAGAGAGTGTCTCACTGGTGTCTCTTCTCATAAGGACACTAATCAGAACAGGGCCCCACCCTTAACACCTCATTTAACTTATTTACATCCTTAGAGGCCCCATTTCCAAATGCAGCCACTCTGGGAGTTAAGACTTCAACACATGAATTCAGAGGGGACACAAACATTCAGTCCATAACATCCCCCACAGCGATATGAATTAGACAACAGTTGATAAAGATGAATTTATATTGATATTCAAGAAAACTTCATTGAACCTATGTGCGAGACTCATTGCTAAGAAGCTCTGGGAATATAGGTAGGAGCAAAAAAAAAAAAACCTGTTGCTGCCTTTAATGAGTTTATAACTGTGGGGAAGACAGAGCAGCCATTGTGACACAGTGATGGTGATGGCTGCAGGGACAGCTTGCTGTGACAGCTCCTACAAAGACCTGTCCTGGAAATAAACCACTTCCTGGGAGCTGCAGAAGTGATGTCCAAGTAGAAACCGTGGTTGAGGAGTACCGAGTAGTAAGCAGGGCTGGGTCAGACAAGGGGCAGCGTTCAGGGGAAGGTATGCAGAGGCCCGAGACGAAACTAGGGTGACCACGATCCTGGCTTGCCCAGGGCTGTCCTGGTTTAGGCACTTAAAGTTCCACGTCCAGGGAATGCATGGGTCACTGTGCCTTATCCAGGGACTGTAAATGGCTCAGTGGAACTGGCGCACAGAGAAGCGGGGGTTGCAGCAGGTTTGGTGGGAGAAAAGCTGGAAAAGGGGGCAGGAGCCCACGCAGGAACTGAGCCGCTGTAGGAGTTAAGACTCTCTTAGAGGTAGTTGAGCAATCAATAAGCAATCTTAAATAGGGGAGCGACTTGCTGAGACTTGCATTTAGAAACAGCTCTATCTGCTGGATAATTAAGGTGGGGGAGAGGGTATAGCTCAGTGGTAGAGTGCATGCTTAGCATACATGAGGTCCAGGGTTCAACCCCCAGCACCTCTGTTTTAAATAAGTAAATAAACCTAATTACTACCCACCATGGGAAGAAAAAAGTTGTTTTATCAATTAAAAAAAAAAAAGAAGAGGGACAAGACTGCAGTCGGGAAGCCATTGTGTTTTTCCAGGGAACAGATGATGGTGACTTAAAGTAAAATAATGGCAGGAGATGGAGAGAACCAGAGGGTCAGGAACATCTTAAGGAGAAGTAAGAGAACTTACAGATGAAATACAGTTGTGGGAGGTAAGTGAGAAAGAAAAATCAAGGATGACTCTCAGATGCTGGCTTGGGAAACTGGAAAAAGTCTCAGGAAGTAATTAAGATGCTTTGGAAATACCTTCCCCCCAGCATCCTCCACGAGAAGACAGACAAAGCAGCCCTTCTGCTTCCCATGCTGCTCTGTTGACTTAAAATCTCAGTTATTGTGCAACTGCCCCAGAAGTCCCAGGCCCGAACTGCCAGGAGGCTGACAGGAACATCAGGATAGGGAGGAGGTTTGGGGCGAGAGAGGGAAATCAGGGGGCATTTGTCGCGCTAGGTCCTTCCTAAAGGTTTACATACTCTAATCATAGGAGGTAGTGGGTGGGACTGTTACCCCCATCTCATAGCTGCAGAGTGGAGGCAGAGTCCCAGCCACAGAGCAGCAGAGCTGGGCTTTGAGCGCAGGTGTGTCTGACTCTGAAGTACTGCTCTTTCCACCATGCTGATGAGCACCTGCTTCTACCCAAATGCACATGTTGTCACTTCTAATGCCACGCCTTGATTCTGTCTTCATTCAGCATTCAAGAAGGATGCGGACCAAGGGAAGGACTCTAAACTCCACCCCCACCCTTCCTAGGGCTCTAAGAGGCCAGCTGAAGGCTGCTTGCAGGAGCAAGGATTGCAAAAGAGCTTCTTAATGCTCTGTAACTGGTCCCCACGCTGATTATACCTGCAAAAGCCCCAAAGCCATATGTCCTATGTAATTATCTTTGTGAGCATCAAGGTCAGGGGAAGCTATGGAGACAGTGTGTCCATCAACAGCCTGTTTAAGGAGGGAGGGAGTGTCCGGAGATGGAACTCAAGGGATAGGTAGCCAAGGGCAGGACGCTACAGGGACGAAAGGACCACGGGATGTGTCCTCAGGGCCCCTCCCCACAAGATGGATGTGCGCAGGTGAGCTTGTCCAAACCTTAGGAGGGGCTCTAGAAACCTGACAGCTAGACCCGTGTGGCCCCTCCATGGAGGCTGCCCTCCCAGGTCTCGGACTCTCTGGAGCTGGAGCCATAAGAGAAAGCCCATTGCCAACTTGAGCTCCGTCATACCCAGCCTTACAGCTTTACATTTGGATATGAATCTCGATTTATCTCTGCAGAGTCTTAATCCTTCTGAACTCACATAGTAATCTATCCATTTTGCTTGGAGTATCCTATTGTTATTTCTGCATGTATTGTATTCCTGTCCCCCTTTTAGATTGGGAATTCTTCAAAAGATCCAAGTTTCACTCACTCCATGTTCTCACATTTTCTTTCACGCAGTAGGCACATGAATGGAGTTTGACTGTTGTCATTGCAGGGTGGGTCACCAGATCTGAGATGTTCATGTCTCAGCTGGCTTCTTTATTTACTGACACTGGCAGACAAAGGACACCAGAGGGCGCTCCTTCCCCTCTTATCTGAGCCCAGGGAGCTGCTCCTTTTCTGCCCACTGGGGTCTCTCTTCAAAACTCAGGCGCCACTGAAAACATGTTTTTTTACCTCTGCTGGGGAGAGGCTTTGGGAGACTTTGAATATTTATACCGATACCTTTAGAGAAATATTTATTCAGCTCAAGTCTTTGATTCCACCCAAATCAAACAAATATTCACAGCTTTTGAAGAACTTACAGTCTAAAGAAGAAACATCTATTTTAAAAATTAACCAACCACTTTATACCCATTAGGATAACTATTATCAAAAATAGAATGTGGAGAAACAGGAAGCTTTGTGCATTGCTGGTGGGAATGTCAAATGGCAGCCACTATGGAAAATCATATGGTGGTTCCTCAAAAAATTAAACAGAATTACCATAAGATCCAGCAAGTCCACTTCTGGGTGTATATCCAAAAAGACTTGAAAGCAGGGACTCAAAGAGATATTTGTGCACCCAGGTTTATAGCAGTATTATTTGCAATAGCCAAAAGGTGGAAGAAACCCAAGTGTCCCTTGACCGATGAATGGGTAAACGAAAGTGTAGTACATCCATACAATGGAATACAATTAAGCCTTAGAAAGGAAGGAACTTTTGACACATGCTATAACCTGGATGGAGAAAGGACAAATACTGTGTGGTTCTGCTTACATGAGGTTCCCAGCGTAGTCAGATTCATAGAGATGGAAAGTGGAATGGGAGTGCCAGGGGCACGGGGTATTTAATAGGAACAGACTTTCAGTTTGGGAAGATGAAAAAGTTCTGAAGATGGATAATATTGATGGTTGTACAACAATGTGAATCTACTTAATTCTACTAAAGTATACACTGAAAGGTAGAAGAATGAGCGAGACAGAGAGACAGAGATGTATATTTAAACTCCATTTCAGATACAGCCCTGTTTCTTACCAAGGCTTCGAAAACGACCCCTGCTAAGACTGTGTCCCACCCACCCGGGCTCCTGGCTCCATCCCCTTTGGTGTCCTAGGACAGTGCTTTCTCATTTAAGCCTCTTTCAGGTGTCTCACATTCTTTACTCCTCGCTTTACAACTTGTCCTAAAAAGGTTTTCATGTGACCCAGCCTTGTTCCCCTCCTTCATCTCACTTTCTTGCAAGTTATACGTGTATCTTGCTTTTTCTCTTCAATCTCCACTCTCCTTAAATCAGAAAACCTGGTCTCAACCTGAACCTCAGGGCAACTGTTCTCTCATGCTGTCCTAGTCCGTTTGGCCTGCTAAAACAAGATACCACAGACTGGGGGCTTATAAACAACAGACACTTAATTCTCCCTGTTCTGGAGGCCGGGAGTCCAAGGTCAAGGTACTGACAGATTCAGTGTCTGGTCAGGGCCCACTGCCTTGTTCACAGCCAGCAACGTTTCCTGTGTCCTCACCTAGTGGAATAGGTGAGGGAGCTCTCGGAGGTCTCTTTTATAAGGGCACTAATCCCACTAAACCACCCTCATGTCCTAATCACCTCCGAAAGGCCCCAAATAGTCAGACCATCACTCTGGAGGTTAGGATTTCAACATATGAATTTAGGGAGGACACAAACATTCAGGTCCTGACATCTGGGTTATGAGGCCATCTTATGGAAAAGCCCAAATACATAAATACTCCCTTGCTAATATCACTGAAACACCAATAACTGATTTTTCATGAGCCCCCATCTGCTTGTCATCAGTGTGTTTAACCAAGATGCCATCCTTTTGTACTTAAAAAAGAAAAAAGAAAAAAAAGTTGTTTCTTTTCCGTATCCATAAGGATTCTAAAGGCAAGACAGGATCCCGGCAATCAAGGAAACTACAATGTAGCAGGAAGTTTTCTTGTAGGCAAGAAACTGTTAAGAGAACCTCAAAGCTCTAGTCTTCATTTTAAAGATGTTAAGCATAGCTGTAGTTCAAAGAATACAGTATGGGCTGTAATAATTAAAGAGCAGTTGTGAAAGTGAATCTTGACC